AAGCAAGCAGCACGGGAAAAAAATAACATTTTAAAATCATTTTTAAAAAAGCGTAAACATTTTCTAATAATAAATAATATATACATAAATATATGGAGCCATTTTATTTTTTAAGATAAAATAAAGAAAAATAGTTGATAACATTCTATTTACATGGCTCTGTCATACTTTAGCCGCAAAGTAATAGAAATCACCCCTAAAAATCATCCACTAATTATGATTTAAAAAAATTTTTAATTTTTATTAAATAAATTGGCTAAAAAAAATTAAATAAAGAATAAATTATATATTTCTAGACATTTCTATTTTTAGTCTAGATAACGAGTTTTAAAAAAAATGTCTTAATATAAGAACATAATTTCATTTCTTTCCCGTGCTTTTTTAGTTTTTAATTTTTTTTTTTTAATTTTTTGGGTTTAATTATTAAAATTTGAGAACATAGCGCGAGTGTCGAGTCTCCCTGGAAGAAAGCGTAGTGTGTGTTCCAAAAGCGAACATTTTCAATTATTTAAAATTATGAAATCAGGACTCATACAATATACATACACATTTATACGAATACACACACACACTCTTCACTGTACAATAATGCTTCAAATTTTTTACCCCCATTTTCTCGCCAGCCTTTTATTCGATGAAGATGATTTTTTTTTTGTATATATTCTCAAAGCCGAGAAAAGTACGAATTTTTTGTTGTTGATATTTTTGATATTTAAAATATTTAAAAATTTAATATTTCGTTTAAAAATTTATTTTAAATTATATGTAAAATTTGCGTCAATTGGGAAATTAGTAGATTAGAAAATTTAGTTAATTTGTAAAGAAAATTTTAAGGGCATGTGATAGTTGCATTATTTACACTTAAATTGTTTTATTTTTATTAACTCTCTGCCTGTTGAGTTATCCCCCCACCAGGCAATCGAAGCCGATTTTCGCCTATAGACAGAGAGTTAAATTTAATTAATAATTTCGATTTTAATTATATTTCGAATTTTAAAAATGGAAAAAATTTTAATTTTTAATATTGATTTTTTCAAACACTTGGGAAGTTTAATTAGAAAAGTTTGAGTCATCAAAAATACGACTTAGAATAAAAGATATGTTTTTCTTTTTTTGGAAGATTAGTTCAAAAAAAGTGGGAAATTGGTTTTTCCTGATATTTTTTTTAGAGACAAATGTCTTTTTTTTTATTAATCAGTCGTGGATAGATATGGTAATTTTTTTCTTTTGTAAAAAAAATTTTCATTGGATAAATATTTGCATTTTTTTACCCTTTTTTTTCATAATCTATGCGGCTTTGTATGAAACGCGTGCAACGGCATTCGTGCGCTGAAGTGTCTCGCGTTGTATACATAAACACTCTATACATACTTTTTTTTTTATTAACAGTTCTTAATTCGTATTGGCAATACTGCATTCGCACCCTGATTAAGCATATCTTGCATGCTACGTTTTACAATATTTTATAATTTTTTTTTTGTCGGATGCGTCACTTTTCGTATAACTTATATTTATAATGTACTTATAATCAACTTTTTTTTTAAAAGTAACTTGAATATTTATAGGAGATATTTATATATATACTGAGAATAATTTTTATTCTCTAGTTTCGAACATTTCTTGTGTTCTTGTTTTTTCACTTGCGGTTTTTTTCTTTTCTTTTTTTTTGCTTTACACATTGCGTATGTGGAATTTAATAAAATTTTTCTTTTAACTTGATAAACAATTTACACGTATAACACAATTTATAAATAGTATTTTTTTTTAAAATTCTTTTTATACAACAATATAATTGAATAATCTACATAGTTAACTGACCGACACACTCGCTTTTATTTTCTAGTTTTTTGGAGATTAAAAAAATATTTTTTTTATGTAACTATTGCAATGAATTTGGGAATTATTTTCCCGAGGGGTTTTTTTTGGGAAATATTCAGAAAAAGTGTTTTTACTTCTGATTTTGTGAAATTTTTCCGCAAATTAAAAGTCGAAAGTCGCTTGCATTGTTAAACGATTTTCGATCTTATGGCAAATGGGAATAATTATAGGGTCTTGATAAATGGAGGGATTATAATTTTTCCAGACTAAAATTCCAGACCTCTGGGGTAATAAGTGCATCATTTGCTACGCATGCTTCAATTACTGCGCTTTTGGAAAAATATTCATTAATTCAAAGTGAAATTTACAATTTTTAATATTAAATTTTACTATTTTTGGATAAATTTTTACCAAGTCCAAAGTAAAATTTAATAATTTTTACTGAAATTTACTTCGGATATATAGTGTAATTGAAAATTCATAGAATTTTAAAATAAAAGTATAGCTTTACGATTTCTTACTTAATTTAAAATTTGAATTTTTAAAAAAATTATAATCCCCTTTGTTTACAGGCCTCGGATCGACTTTAAGACACAAAAAAAGTCGCTTTAGTCGATTAAAAATACAAAAAAGTCGAAAAAGTCGTTTATTTAATTCAGTGTTGCAACAAAAATTTTATCTTGTAACTGTAATAGTTATTGTTCATGTTTTTTTTAAGTTATTAAGTTATAATATATTTTAAAAAAATTATAATTAAAAAACTCTTAAAATTAATTTTTTTTTAAATTATAATAAAAAAAGTCTTAAAATTAATTTTTTAAAGATAATTGATAGTTTTTTAATTATATATATATTTAAAAAATTTCCAAACAATTGAATTTTGGTAAAATCTTTTAAAAATAATTGAAATTTGATAAATTCTTTTTAAAACAATTGAATTTTGATAAAATTGTTTAAAAGTAATTGAAATTTAAAAAAAACTTTTAAATAATTGAATTTATAAATTTCTAAAAATTAGTTTTTTAAAAATATTCTAATGTAATTTTTCGAAAATAATTGAATTTCTTAAGAGAATTTTTGTATAATTTAAAAAAAAATCTATAAGTAATTTTTTGAAGAATTTTAATTAAAAATTTTCATAATGATTAAATGTTAAAAATTAAATTAATTAAATTAAATTAAGTAATTAATTAATTAATTAAAATTAAATGTTAAAAATAATTCTAAAAAATTTTAATGTTTCTATTATTATTTGTACCTATGTATTTGAATTTTAGGAATAATTTTTTTTTAAATTTTGAAAAGAATTGAATTTTAAAAATTTATAATAAAAAAAATTCTAAGAATTACTTTTTAAAAAAAAATTTAATAGGGGAATGTAGTCAAGGTTGGTCTACTGTCTAGGTAGGCCACTCGCGTTTTTTTGTCAAGTTCACTAGCGCCACCTACGCGCATTTTTGTCGAAGCTTGTCTTAGTGAAACCTAACTTTTTGTTCAATTACATTTTCGGAAAATCGAAAATTGTGTTTTCTGTGACGTCGGTACAAAAAAAGCTCAAAAAAAGTTTTGTGCATAATGTGAAAAACCATTAATAAAAGATAAAAAACAAATTGAATCGTCAAGGCAAGTATGCAGAAAATTTGTGGGACTCATGGTTGAGAGGAAAACAAAGTAAAAAATCGAATCCCGAAACGTATTTCTTTATGGTTACAACAATTCGGTAATGTTACTTACTGTCAAGGTCGGCCACTATGTGTTTAAAATGCGCAAAGATGAGGACGAGCTACTTCATTGGCAAAAACTGCAATTCTGTATAACTCATAATATAATTGATCATCTTATTAATATTTTTATTTAATTTTATTAATATTTTAGTGCAAAAATTTTTTTTATTTATATTTATTTTTTTATATTGTTTATTTTTATTATTTTGTTATTTCATTAAGTTACAAACTGTAAACAATAAAGAATCAATTTTCCGTAACTCCAAACATGTTATTTTATTTTTTAACGATTAATGCCCTTTGAATTTTAAACATGGCCGACCTTGACTGTAATGGCCAACCTGGACTACAAATTTTTTTTTTTTTAAATTTTTATAACTTTTTCATTTTTAAACCTGTCAATTTACTTTGTACAGAAAAAATGTTCCTATTAAACAGGACTTTCCAACCATATTCTTCAATTGTCCAAATTCATTTTTAAAAAAAAGTTATAAACAAAAGTCAAAAAGGTGGCCGACCTAGACTATGTTCCCCTACTAGTTTAAAAAAAAATAGTCAAAAAAAGTCATAATATTCGAGGCCTGTGTTTATCTGTAAAAAATTACTGTGATCCCTGAAAAAACCAGAAGAAAATTTTTTGATAATTTAAAAAATAATTTTGATTTAGTAGAACAATTTGGTAAATTTATATTTTTGTAACTAATTGTTAAATTGTTTCGCATTTACAAATATAATTATTTAAAATTGTAACGTAGCCTTTAAACTGTTATTTTTAATAAGCGCATTATCGCAGTAATTGACACACAGTAATTGATTCAAGCGCATAGTAATAGACACGCTTTTCGTATTATTTTTAAATGTTTAAATTTTGTATTAATAATAATTTATTTTTCTATGATGAATTTGAGAAAAATTATATATTTAATTTGTATATAAGTGCCTTGAGACTTTGTTTTTAGTTTTTAAGGAAAAACTTTTTAAGGAATTTAAGGAAATTTTTCACAAAATGAGAGGCAATATTTTACGAATATGATTTTGTAGAACTTTGACTGTATATTGCTTGTGCATTTAGAAAATTATTAACATTTTTTAATTTAAAAATTTGTATTTGTATTTAGAAATTATCTGTAAAAAATTTAAGAGCCGACTATATGAATGTATTTTTTTTGTTATACTTTTTAATGGTAAAATATTTTTTTTATTTCTTTGCTTAAAGATTTTAAGAAAATATTTTTAAAATGGGAGAATTTTTTCGAAGTAAAAATCGAGTGTGTCTGGTAGATTTTTTTTTTTTTTTGAGGTTCTATAAAACGAAAGGCCCTATACATTTATTTTCTCTAGGAGCAAACGTTTTTTTATTTTCACATTCCTTATACGCTCATTTTCTGAATTGTTTTTTTTGCTGTTTGTTCATTCTCAGTATTTTTTTTTATTCCTATTTTTTGTCATTTCTCTATCTGTATGGTTTTTTTTTTTTTTTTTTGGTTTTTTGTGTTTTTGTTCAACAGTCAGTCTTGGCTTGCTTTCTCTCGTTCGTTCAGATTATTTATTTCTTTTTTAGTCCTAATAGTTGAGAGAAAAATGTTTTTTTTTTTTTTTGTTAACACTTTTAATGTTTTTTTAATTTGGGTTTATTTTACACATACCACTCTTTAATGTCTTTAACTTCACGTTTTTTGCCGTTCCTATTGACATTGGCGCCATTTTTCAAGGCACCATTATAGGGTTGATTTGTGCCGGCAGTGCCTAAGAGTGCGGCATTTGGATCTTGACAGAATGTCTTGTTCTCGTCGACCTTATAATTGGCCTCGGGTCGACTTTTAAATTTGAGAATTATTAAAATTATTAGAACAATTGCTATTAGTGCACCGGCAATAATGCCGATAATTAATGCTGCATTCTCTGCTGTTTCTGATGTTATCCTTTTGTTATTGTTGTTGGTCACTTTGGGACGTAATGTGAAGGGTTTAAATTCAGTGTCGCCAACACCTGGTGGTATTGGTGTGTGACGTTCCGTCATTTCGGTGGTTGTTGTTGATGATGTTGTCGTTGATGCTGTACTGGTCACTGATGACGTACGCTGACGTTGCGTTGTCACAGCACTGAAAAATGAGGTTAATGTTAGAAAAAGTTATTGTTTTTTTAAAAATTTGTGAACATCATTAATTTATATAAATAAAAGATGTTTTGCGATTCTTCTGTGACTTCCAAAAATATTGAATCATTAATTTATAATAGTAATTGATTCTCTTTCTGTATTTTTGATCCAAAAATTATAAGCACAACCTAAAATGTTTTGCTTTTTAGCAAAACTTTATAATCATAACCTATAATTCGTTTGCTTTCTTTAAGGTTTGAATCAATTAAAATTTCATTATTTTAATCAGTAAAACATGTTTTGACTGAAAAATCATTGATTTTTACTGCGGTACAATAATAATTTTAACAGTTTTATCCTGTTTATTCAAAGTTGTTCAATATATGACAGAAATTTTGTGAAGTGATCGATTTATATATATATTATATTATGGTATATTATATATATATATTATAGTACTTATTAATAAATGATTGGAGTCAAATATTGTAGAATATTTAAGGATATATTATATAGACGAAATTAATTGATAATTCTGCAAAGTTAAGTGTCAGTGCTTTTAAATAATTTATAGTTATCTTAATTAACATAGGTTTACTACACCTATATATAAAAATTTATTTTACACTAAACAAATTTGAGTCCAATACTTATTTTTGTTTAATAAACATAAAATTTGTAAAATTGGTTCATGAGTTTTTAAACTTTACACACCTTATATTAAAATTATTAGATTGATTAATAAATTAGTTATTAAATTAATTTAATATTATTAAAAATTAATCAAATATAATAATTTGAACAATGAAATTTACTATTTTATCAATAAAAATCATTACTTACTCGAGTCACATTAACTAATTTAGACAACAAAAATTTAGACATATAAATAAACATATTATTTAAACCTATAATTTAATAAGCGGTTGGTTCTGATGATAAGAACTATAGTTCTTATCATTAAAAGCTTTTTCTTGTACATTTGATTGATACAATCAGTCAAAAGAAGTAATTTGAATAATATCATTTATTTGTTTTATCACTAAAAATTATTATTTACTACATTCAGTATCTCTAATTTTATCTATAGAAACTTATGGTTTTTTTTTAGTAAAAATGAATGATTTTAATAACAAAAACAGCTAATTAAAATAATCAAATGAATGGCTTGAATAATTAAAAACTAATGATTTTTTCTGTATTCGTGATAGATTCAAATTGTAACTAAATTCAAATTCAAATTGTGACTAAATTTTATAAGATAAAAAAATCACAAAGTAGGTGAAAAAGAGTGACAAATTGAAATGAGAAGAAGTGGATTGAAATTTTTTTGAAGTAGTTCTTAAAAGACGAATTTTAGTGACAATTGAAAGAAGTGCAATGCATTGGAATTTTTTTCAATCAGTTCTTATAAAAGATAAATTTTAATTTTCGATTGTTATTTATACTTTCACTAGTTAGAGGGAAAAAGGAAGAAAGAGAAACAAAGGAGGGTTGGGAGAAAATCAATGAAGAGATACATTCATATTAAACATACATATTTTCACTTTTATACTTCCATTTTGAGAGTTTTTTCTTGCTTTAATACACTTGATTTTTCATTCTTTAATTCGTAATATAGGAAATTCATAATTTTTCAATTCAGCTTTAAAAAGACTAAATTTTTTGCAAAAATTTGAGAATCCGCGTTCTACTTTTAAGGTTAGAAATTTTTTTCTGTTATGAATTTTTCCACTTGCATTTTTAAAAATTAACGAATGATACTTGAATTTTTTACTTTTTCTACTAAATTCGATTTCTATCCGGAGATAAATTATAACAAAAGGTCTTTAATTCTTTAATTGTAAATTAATAATTTCGGTAATTGGTAATTTAATTTGGCTTTTGCGAAAAATTTGAGAATATACAGTTCTACTTTTAAGGTTAGGAATTTTTTTTCTATTTCGGATTTTATACCTTTTTGTATTTTGGAAAATTAACGAATTTTACTTTTATTCTTTTATTTTTGTATTTGAATTTGTGTGGAAATTTTTTCAATTCAAAAATAAACAAAAGAAGGAATTTGAAGTTGGGGATTTTTTTTTAAAATTGCTTTAATTTGCGTTTTTTTCAAATTGACAATTTTTCTTTGCAAAATAACTAATTTTCAAGAATTATTTGAAAAAAATGAAAATATTATTGTGAAATACTATAAACAAAAATTAGATTCTACAAAATAGAAATTTTTTTATTTTTATTATTGAACTTTTATTATTAAAATTTAATTTAAATTTCGGGAAAATTAGCTTATTTCAAACAATGGAAATTTATTTATTTTTATTACTAAACTTATTTTAATATAAAAAATGAATTAAAATTAGCGAAAATTATTTTTTTAAAAAATATAAATTTATTTATTTTTTATTAAACTTTTATTATTAAAATTGAAATAGTATTTAGCGAAAATTAGCTTTTAAATATTAAACTTCTATTATTATTATTATTCAAATTAGATTGAAATTTATCGACAATTAGTTATAAATAAGCTTCGAAAAAATAGGAATTTATTTTTATTATTATTCAGCTTTTGTTATTAAAATAAATAAAAAAATGTTTGATTAAACATACTTTTATTATCCTAATAATTATTTTTTCCAATTTTTTACTCAAAATTTCATCCACTTTTTCGATTTTCATCGATAAGGATGAGGCGATTTTTGTATTTCTATACGAAAATATGATCGAGTTGATAATTACATAAAAACATATGGATAGAATATGGAATGGAAAAATATAGAGAAAAATCAATTATTCGTGAAAAGTAATAATGAATTTAGTTTTTCTTTTTTTTATTTGAGCATTAAAAAGGGTTGGAGTTGTGTTTAATTTCTAATAGTTGTTTGGTGCAAATGACAATGTGACCATACTATACCACTACTAGTTTTCATTTTCATACACTCACCTGGTTTGAGTTGTTTCTGTGCCGGCAGTTGAGACATTGTATAGGGTCGAAACAACTGTCACAATTCCTCGTGGCGATGTTGATCCTGTCAATGTTGTCAAGGTGCTGATGTGGCTTGTTGCAATCTCTCTTTGTGTTGTAAATGTCACCGAGCTCGAATCTGTGACAAGAGATCAGTGCGCGTGTTGAATTACTCAGTAAATTGTTAAAGGAGGGTGACCCGGCTGGTAAAATACGCTTGCGTAACCAGGACCGTATCAATTTCCCTTTTATCAGAGAGAAAGAAAAGACTTTTCTTTTGGGTAAATTTTGTTTTATTTTTTTTTTTCAATTCTCCCTTGTACTAGGAGAAATTTTTTTAGGTTTAGTTTTACTTTTTTTTGTTCCTTTTTATTTTATTTTTTCGTTTATTTTGTTTATTTTGATTATTCTGTTTATTTTAGTTTTTTTTACTGTTTAAAATTCTGGAAAAAAAATTCTGTTTGAAAAAAGTTCATTTTATTCAAATTTTACTTTTTTAAAACAGTTCTGAAAAGATAAACATTTTTCCCTAGTGTAAAAAAATCAAGGATCAAAATGCTAGTGAAAACTAACCTAAAAGTTTATTTTTTGAAAACCTGAAAAGACAAACATTGTTCCCTAGTGTAAAAAAATCAAGGATCAAAATGCTAGTGAAAACTAACCTAAAAGTTTATTTTTTGAAAACCTGAAAAGACAAACATTGTTCCCTCGTGTAAAAAAATCAAGGATCAAAATGATACTAAAAGCTAACATCAAATTTTAGTTTTTAAATAGTTCTGAAAAGATATAAACATTAACAATTTAGTGTAGAAAAATCGATGGCAAAATGTTAGTAAAAACTAACCTCAAATTTTACAAAAATAAAATTCTTTTTTAGTTTCAATTTTTAAAGTTAGTTTATAAATTTTTATCTTATAATTTTACTTTTATAAATTTATTATTTTAATTTTGTAATTATAATTTTATAATTATACTTTTATAAATTTATAACATTAATTTTGTAATTCTGATTTTATAATTTTTGTTTAATTATTTTATAATTTTAATTTGATTATTTTTTTTTATTTATTATTATACACTCGGCTTTTGATTGAATCAAATTTTTCAGAAATGTTTTCCAAAGTAATGCAATTTATTAAATGACTTATTAATTAATAATAAGGATATTGTAAATAAATAATTAACTTACTTAAGATTATGTTAAATTAATGTTAATATTTTGTTTAAATTTGAATATTTGAAATTACTATTAATTATATTTTAATTGAATTACTAAAGACATTTTGTAGTTATAAAAATTTGTCCAATATGATAATTTAATTTTACCCTTAATAATAATTGAATTAAAAAGAAAATTAAATATTTGATATTTATTTTTTGAATTTTTGAAATCTTAAACTCAATTTATCAGAAGTATATATTTGGAATGAGTCGAGAAACATATAATTATTCTTTAATGAGGGATCTCGTTATAACATGAAAAAAGAAAAGGAAAATTGAAGCGAAAAAGGAATGAATTCGCGTATTTCAAATGAAACTTGCGGAGCGATTGGATGAGGCCATTAACCCGGGGGTTTTTGGACTATCCGTGCGAGATTTGATAACATAGCTTTGAATATCGACAAAACTGTCAGCGTTGTACGGACACGGTTGAATAGGACCAAGAGAAGTTGTAAAAATGTCTTTTTCTTCCCGCGTATCGTGAAATGGGGCAGTGGAATATATATATAAGATATATTTTTGCAATCTCGTTCATCGCCTTTCGCGTTTCCTGTTCTTTTTTTTATTTTTTTCTTTAACTCCTGCATAAGAAATGAAGAAAAAAATATTTAGATATTATATAGACTAAATTAGAAAACCTCGTGACCTCTCAGAAAACGTTCCTGCTGGTCGATATCCATATACCTTTCTCGGGTATTGATTACCGTACACGTGCTTTTCACACTGGTGCGGGACTATATAGGTTGAAAAATGCTGGTCAATTCATTCTTTCAGTTTTTTTTTCTTCTTTTATGAACGGTAATTTTTACAAAATGGTCGAATTTTGACGAAGTAGTTAATTTTTTAATACTTTGGAAAATATTAAATTTTTAAGTACACAATAATTGTAAAATTGCTTTGGATTATAAAATGTTTATTTTATATCCGCAGGCCTCGGACTTATGCGACACACAACTATTTATTTACTGTTTTTATAAATATGGTACTAATGACATAATTATTTCGTTAAAAAAGCGACTGATTGTATATAGGTACTATTTCTGAAAGTACAAAAATATACCATAATTCTTAAAACGAGATTTTAAATATAAATTTATTTAGTGAGGAAATTCATTCTAAGATGCTACAAAATTTGGAGACGATAAAAATATCGAAAAGGGAAGTAAATTAAATATTGAAATCCGTTTAGATTAATAATTAATATTAAACGGATTTCAATCAAATTTAGAGAGTTTGACAATTATATAAATAATTATAGAGTTAGGAATATTGACGAAAATGTTGAGATTTAAAAATGGAGGTGCTATTCTCCACCTGAGAACGCCAAGGTCACCGCTAGATGGCTAGACGCCATCTAGCGTTGACCTTGGCGTTCTTACGTGGAGAAATTTAACCACCGTTTTATCCCTCAAACACTTTTTTTTGAAAAATTTATTAAATTTTTTATTTAAACAATTTATTAAATTTTTAATTTAAAAAATGTTATTGTGAGAATAATATAAATTGTGTTGTAAATATAGTCCGAGGCCTGTTATACGAACAAAAATATTTTCAATAGTTTCAGTAGTCATTCTAAAATTTATTCAAGAATTGAGGTAACGGGAAAATTAGATAATTCTTTTCTAGAAAAATTCAATATTTACAGGGATTACAGTTTTATCTAATATTATACTATTAATATATTAATAATAATTTTTTAATAATATTAATATATTAATATTACATGAAAAAATCACTCTGATCCCTCTCTGATTTTGTAATAATTTTTGAAAAAAGATTTTCCTTTTACCTAAAACTATATTATCGATTTTGAAGAATATGTATTTTTTATGAGAGAATTTTAAGGGGAAATATATTTTTTTGAGGGTGAATTAGTTTTCTTGAATACCCACCAGTTGCGGAGGTGACGAACACTTCTTGCGTTGTTCCAGGATCACCTGAACCCTCCTCGCAGTCCTCCTCGTCGTCGCATGACGGTCGAATTTGAATATTGTCCTTATTAATGTACTTTGGTTTGAATACAGTTGGTGACCTAGTTGGCGCCACGTAAACTGGCGTTATCAAATCGTCTGCAATTATAATTAATATTATATAATTTTTCATTTTTATAATGGACTAATAAAAATTAAATTAACTATACATATATATGTATAACCAGAAAATCGATATATGAAAATTATGTGACCAAGTATATTGACATTTTTTAATAATTTATTTATAAAGAATATTTACAAATTAATTATACATAATTCAAATCGATTTTTAATTAATTTTTCATTTATATGATGAATTGACAATTTTAGTATTATTTATAAAATGGTGGAATTACTTGCAAGTAATTCTGTAATATTAATAATTCAAATAATAATTGTTTATGAAATTAAGTAATATAAATATTAATGTAAATTAAATATTTATTTATTTATTATTTATAATATTTAAATATTAGAAATACAGATTAAAACTTTAACCGGTGCGCAATATAACCTTAAAAAATTAACTTTTAATTAATATTTGTAAGTTTTTCAAGTTAATTTTAAAGCTATTTCTTCTGTTTACTTTTAAAATATATACACGGAGAGAAAATTATATTAAATCTTGGCAAAGTATTTCACAGTTTGGGGAAAAAATGCGACAAAGCGAAATTTTGATATAAAAAATACTAAAGTTTAAAAAAACTTACTGTGAAATTTAATATAACTCTATCAAATATAAGAATTTTAGTTCAATTTTAATATAACTTTACTAAATTTCATATTATTTCTTTCATTGTTTAGTATTTTCTATATCAAAATTTCGGTTTGTTGCACTTTTTCCCCAAATTGTAAAATATTATAATTACAAAATTTAATATATATTATTTTCATCGTGTAGTGTAAAAAATCAAGGATCAAAATGCTAGTGAAAATTATAACCTAAAAGGTTATTTTTTAAAACCTGAAAAGACAAACATTTTTCCCTAGTGTAAAAAATTGAGGGTCAAAACGTTAGTGAAAACTAACCTAAAAGTTTATTTTTTTAAAACCTGAAAAGACAAACATTTTTCCCTAGTGTAAAAAATTGAGGGTCAAAACGTTAGTGAAAACTAACCTAAAAGTTTATTTTTTCTTTAATAAATATGAAAATCCTTGAATCATATTTTAAATTTCCTATTCGTAATTTTGACACATATTATTATTATTATTAGGTATGGATAACGATTAAAATTGAGTTTTTAGTTGGACGGTGAAGATTTTTCATTGAGCGAGTATCAAGTGAAAAGAGGTCGATGAACGTGAAGAGAGAAAGGACGATGTGTTTGTCTGTGTGTGTGTGTTTGTCTCGCGGGAAGTTTATCTCGGGCAAGGGGAGATTCTAAATATGCAAATGAATTGAAGATACAACCGGGCAAGCATGAAGATGAAAAGGTGGCATGCGTGTGACGATAACTTGTGGCTTATACGTGACCTCTAAACGAATATCCTCTCGTGTATTTCTGTTAGGGGTCTCTCATCCATACATGCGTGAAATTTATTTCTCTTTGTACGTCTGATGCTACTTATATTGTTAACTGAAACATGTCCATTGTTTATGGACGAGTTAATTGTTTTTTTTTTTTTTTTGCTTTGTTCTATTTTTTTTCCTTTTTTAATTCGGTCAAGTATTTTCAATCGTCCTTTTTATACTGTCATTATTGTTATTCTTTTTTTTGAAATTTAATGAAAATTCTTCATTTTTTAAAAAAATATAATTTTTCTAATAGTTTTACTTTAAATTTAAAAAAAATTAAGAATTAAATTCTTGCTAAAATTAAATTAAATTTTTTTAAATAATTGAATTCATGTTAAAAATTTTATTACTTGTAAAAATAATTGAATTTTTGTGAAGGATTTTATTAAAAATTTGGTAAATAATAAAATAATATTCAGACTTAATATCTTTAAATATACAGTCAGTAATATATTATATTTACATTTTATAAAAGAAAAAATAATATAAATTATAATATAATTATAATATATAATAATATAATTATAATATATAATAATATAATTATAATATAGTGATAATATTATAATAGAAATTATAATAATTTATTTTAAATTATTATTAAAAAATTGTAATAGAAATATAAAAATTTATACAGTAGGAAAATCTACATGACAGTCAAAGCAAATTAACACGATTATTAAATTATAATTATATTAAATTATAAAATTTTATGATTTAAAAGAAAAAGGAGAGAAAAAAAATGTTGGAAAGTTTTGTGCCCTTTCCATTATTTGTGTTCCATCCTTGTCTAGGGGAGTGCTAAACGTCTCTCCTTTCATACTACACGAGGGTTCTATACGTTCAGCGGGCTTATATATGAATCGAGGGGATATTTCACAACCTGTGAGAAGCGACAGTTTCTTTAAAAAGTCGAAAGAAAATTAGTTTAATTAAATGGGTGAAAGTGGAAAGTGTCTTATTTTTTCAAAGGAACATTGTGAAATAAATTTTATCAAAAAAGAAAATTTTATCACTTTTTTTTTAAATTTTCATTTGAATTTTATACTTGCGCAGGGACGTAGGAAGCTTACCAAGCGCCCTGTACCTGAGTGTTAATATTAGGGGAAAAATTTGATGTCTTTTAAATTTATTGCGTATTTAATTTAATTTCGGAGAACTTTATTTGGTTATTTATTTTATTTATTACTTTATTATTTTATTAATTATTTACTTTATTTACTTTATTTACTTTATTTATAGCGGTTTTTTTAATAGCGGTTAATTAAAACTAATCCAGTGATGTATGAACTTTTTCACGTGCCCCGAGTATTAAAATTTAAAGTAAATTTTATTTCCAATTTTTTCCAAATTTTTTTGGGAGTCATTCATTAGTTTTATTTACAATGTAATAATAATTAAAATTATAAAATTAATGAAATTATTAATTAATTATATTATTATTTTGATTTACTGTTTAATTTACTTTTTGATGTTTTTTTTTTGACTTTTTGATTCAATCTTATATCTTAATATTTTCCATTATACTATTTAACTTGACACAATTAAAATTTTAATCCTTTCTTTTCATTTCAGATCAGTGCCTTTTGTTATTCTTCATAATTTGGGTCAAGAGTTCGCGTTCTTTGTTTTATTCTTCTCATCAAATGTGAGTCAAATATAATATACTAATATATAAAATTTGCATACATGAAAATTCCTTGTAATTGTGATATTAAAAATTTTTATTTAATTTAACTCCAATTTCTCTTTTTCAAAATATTATTTTTCTTATTTTGAAAAAGAACATACTGTATTGGTTTTTTTTTAAATTGTGCCATTGAATGTGTCTAGAGAAATTTGGTTTATTTTTTTTTTTATTTCATTTGAAATGAAACTTACCAGCGCCATTGTCGACAATAGGTGTACATTCCTCGTCCTCGTCATCTCCGGAACAGCCACTTCCGGCGCCGGAGAAAATTAGGTCGTCCATGACACCCGGGGATCCTGAAGCGGGAGTCTGAAATTTTTTTTATTTTTTTTAATATACCGTAACGTCAAATGTGCCATTTTTCGTTTTAATTGACAAATTTCTTGGGAAATTATATATCCTGCAAAGTGTCAGAAAAAGCGTGATGTTTTAAAATTGGAAGTTGATGAATTAGTTTTTACTTTAAAAACTGTTTGTTTGACACTTATTGCAGAACTATATAATTTTTATTTTATTTTTATAATTTTATTAAAATTATTTTTTATAAATTTTATAATTTTAAAAATAACTTTATAAAAACATTTTGTTTTCTAAACGAGGAATAAATAAATAAGTATAATTACCAATAAAATAATTAATAATAATAATAAAAAGTTATATATATTTTTACGAGATTTAAAAAAACTTAAAAATTTTTACATAAATGAATAAATTTTTTTTTGCCGGAAGGGGGGTGGGGGGAATCTTACTTGTTGCATCCTTTGTAGTGGCGCGGCTTTATCGACGAGACTGCCCATTGGCAATAATTGAACGTCACCTCTTGATGTTATTTTCCCATCTTTGGCGGCTGATAATTCTAAAATTCTTACGCCATTAACGACTAATCCCGAAACAACACCTAAAAATGGCCTGTCAACTCTTCCTTTACTATGATTCCAACGTCCTCCAACTTGAATTGTCGATTGACTGTTAAAAACTGCCATTTGATGACCTGAAACAATCAATATAATAACAAAATTTATAATATTAAATGTATATTGAATTTTGAAATATTATTATAAAATATCATAAATTATCAAAGAAATATTATATAAAAATATTTTGAAAATAATTATGAAATTTAAAAAAAAATGACATCTTTGAAGTATAATTTTTAAAAAATTATACTTCAAAGATGTCTAATATTATATTAGAGTGGAAATTTTAAAATTATTTAAATAAAATTAAATAAAATTTAAAAAAGGACACAATTTTTTATAAAAAAAAATATGTGTCGCGTATCTGAGAAGCAAACAATTTTAGGTTATGTTTGTAATTTTTTGAGTAAAAATACAGAAAGTACAGTAACTATTTAAATTAAATATTTTTTTAATTATCTTTTTTTGTTTAATTTATAATTGTATATTTTTCTTATATTATTTAAATGTATATTTATATATGGAAATGTAGACATATAAATATAAAATGTGTGTGTATTTAAAGATGGAAGGCCTCGTGTGCCTCAATAAGAAGGGCCGTGAAAAGGAATTGAGGGAATGAAATTTCATCCTCCTCTCTTCTTAGTTCCACATTCCGATTGTTGTGTCGTAATTCTGTTGTCGATTCTTTGTTTGACGGATGTTTTCGTTTGACCAAAGAACAGGGGAACATGATCGAGTAGGAATAAGCGAAAGAGAGTGAATATCGCCGGTTTTCTTGTGGGCTTCACCATTGCTCTTGACTGGCTGACCGTTGGCCAGTTTCCCTTCCCTCGCAGCAAAAGATCGTGAACCATATACCCAACTCAAATGTAAATTATATAACTTTCGCGTATACATACGAAATCCGTTTAAATTATTTGAAATCATCTAAAACATAGCTAAAATTATGCATGTTTTACCCTCCCCCTTTTTTTATTTAAAAAAACTTATAAATAAAAATTGATCCCCTTTTTTACCTAAGACCCCCTTTTTCCCTTTAAATTATTAAAATTCTTCATAAAACACCTAAAATTATACAGTTTCTTCCCTTTTACCTTTTGCAAGGTTCTAAAATAATTGAGACATTCAGATTTCTTATTATTCTTAATTATTTTATTTATTTCATATTTTGATGCTTACTTCTGTCCATGTATTATTTGTTGAAATCGTCATTAATGACTTTTGTTTTAAATTTTTTATGTTAATTTTTGATGCTCAAGAACACAAAAAAACGATAATCTAGAACCTATACTTAAATAGGAGCCAAGAATATTCCCTACTTAAATTAAGTGGCCCCACTTAAATTAAGTGAAAAATATTCTTTACAATAAGAATATCAATCTTACTGCAAGAATATTTTTCAAATATTTCATTTTTCACTTAATTTAAGCGGGGCCACTTAATTTAAGTAGAGAATATTCTTGGCTCCTATTTTAGTAGGTTATTCTTAAAACTAGATTAAACTAAAAAATCTCTGATAACAAAATAATGGATCTAACTGACACCCAGAGGTCTGTTTCATTTAGAAAAATAAGCTGTTGGACCCTGAAGTTTGAAAATTTTGAAAATCTATTAGTTTGGCGTTATCTGTTGTTAAATTTTAATTAGCTATTAATTTCGATGAATAAAGTGCGTAATATGCTCAAGAAAAGTTGGTATAGTAATAGTAATTGTACAGATTGTAGATTTAATAATTTATGTAATTTTCTGTTACAACCAGCCCCTAGTAGCGTCTGATTTTGCTGGTTGGTTTTCTATAACTTATATGATATAAAAGTGATAAGAGAGCCCTTTCTTCTCATAGGGTCTAAATTTGGTTGGTTTTAAGAACAGGCAAGCATCATTCTCTTGGAGCTTTTATATATAAAAGGATGTGTGGTGGTCAATGGTCCTTCCATGATGTGGGAAACTTGACCTTCAACTCCACACACATCCCTTCCTTTCTTCCCTTGCCTTGATCATCACGAGTGGAATACACAATTTTTATGTACAACCGGAATTATTCCTGCTTCTTTGTTTCTGTGAGAATTTACTCTTATGGCTTTTACAAGGTTGTCACAGATCAGGGAAATCAGGGAATTCAGTGGAAAAGTCAGGGAAATTAGAATTGGTCAGGAAAAGTCAGGGATGGATTTTTATTAGAAGTACTGAAAAAAATTACATGTTTAGAATTTATAAGAAGATTTTGAATTTTTGTGTCTTTTTGTTTGATGCCTTATAAACTATATATGAAATTACCACGAATTCTAATAAAAAACATTAAATTTTTTCTATTTTTAACAATAATTTATTTTAAATAACTTAATTCCATTGAAGAACTATGCCATAAAGTTAAGACTTATTATAAATCATTTAATAAAGTATTTTTTTGAAAAATTTTAATTTCATTTCTGTTGAAAATAGTTTCAATTTTAAAAATTTTAACGCAATTCTTTATTGAAGGAATTCAACTATCTTAATAAATATTAAAATTCTTTCCAGAAATTCTATTATTTTCAAAAGTTTTTTTTAAAAATCTCGTCAACATTTCAATTATCTTTATAAATATAGGTGCAAAATTCTTCGACAAAATTCAATTACTCATATAGGAATTTTTATAAAATTCAATTATTTTCATCAATAATATCTAGTATTCATCACAAGACTTCAATTATTTTCAAAAATTGTAATAAAATTCATGGAAAAATACAATTATTTTCATAACTAATAGCATTTATTATACAAAATTCAATTATTTTCAAAAATTTTAATAAAATTCATTGCAAAATTCCATTATTTTTTATAAATAATAGTATTCATCACAAGACTTCAATTATTTCCAAAAATTTTAATAAAATTCATGGCAAAAAACAATTATTTTCATAAATAATAGTATTTATTACAAGAATTATTCAATTATACTTTCAAAAATTTTAATAAAATTCATGGTAAAATTAAAAAATTTCATAAGAATTCAATTATTTAAAATAGAATTTGCATAAATTTTTTCGAAAAAAACAAATGTTTTAAAATTTGGCATAAATTTTCATAAATATTAAAATGTTTTTTAGGGATTTAATTATTTTCATAAATAATAAAATCATTAAGAGGATATCATAATTATTTTCAAGAATAAGATAATGTTCATTACAAGAATTCAATTATTTTCAAAAGTTTTAATAAAATTTATGGCAAAATTTCAATTATTTTCAAAAATTTGTCATATTTAAATTATTTTCAATATTCTATTATTTCAATAAAATTTCCCAAAAGAATTCAATTATTTGAAGACAATTTTGACAAAGTTCTATTACACGAATATTCAATTATTTTCTAAAATAATGAAAATGTCACTGAAATTCAATTATTAAAAATAGAATTTGCATACTTTTTTTTTGAAAAGAATCAATTCTTTGAAATATTTTTATAAAATTATTTTCATAAATAATAAAACTCTCATTACAGAATTTCAATTATTTTTAATACAATTTTAATGGAATTCTTTGAAAAATGTATAATAATTCTTGAAAATGTTATTAAAATTTGTTGTAAGATTTCAATTCTTTTTATCAATAGTAAAATTCTTCGCTGAAATTTATTATTATATTTATAAAATTTCTCAAAAGAATTCAATTATTTAAGAAAAATTAATAAAATTTAACACAAAAATTCAATTAATATTACGAATATTAAAATTTTCGTAGAAATTCAATTATTTGAAAAACGAATATTAAGAAAATTTTTCGAAAGAAATCAATATTATTAATATTTTAATAAAATTCCTTTAAAGAAATTAATTAATTAATTATTTTTAAAAATGTTATTAAAGTCGTCGAAAGAATTAAATTATTTGAAAATTTATTGATAAAATTTCTTTATGAAAATTCAATTTTAAGAAGTAATCAATTTTTCAATGAATTATTTTTGTATTATAAATAATTGAATTCTCGTAAAATTTTCTAATAGAAATTGATTCAAAAATGAATTTTAGATAATATAATTGAATATTAAAAGCATATATATATATATATATATATATATATATATTATATCATGAATTTTTAGAAATACACTCCGCCGGTTGAATTTTCTAAAGGTTTCAATAAATTAAAATCTTTGAAAATCCAAATTTTTCATATTTTTAATTAAAAATTCTATATGGAACTAATTTTTTAAATATTTCTAATCAAAATGATAAAAATATTGGTAAATAGGAACTTGTTACTTCTACCCCTGTTAGCATTAGCCTAAAGCTCCCTTAATAAATATTTTTAAAGTTTATATATATGCAAAATTAGCGAAATTAAATCTACACTAAAAAAAAATTTATTTGATACAAATAACCGATTAATAATGACTATTATCAATTTATTAAATATTTACTTGAATGAAATAATATTTATTGGAGTCAATTAAATATATGGTATTTGAAGCAATAATTTCAGTATTTGAAGCAAATATGAATTAAACCATTTAATTGACTCCAATATATTATTTGACTCCAAATATTATTTGATTCAAGTAAATATTTAATTGATAATAGTCAATTAATCGGTTATTTGAATCAAATAGATTTTTTTTATGGAAAAAACGAACTTTTTTCTTATATTTTGTTTATTATAGACGTAAATATTAAACTAACGGTTATAGTTTATCTACAAGTTATATGTAGGTTTATATAGAGTGTAGGATGCGACGCGACGGGTTTTTTCACTTTCAGATATATGTAAATTAATTGGAGACATTAATCAGGCTAGTAGCTTGAGGCTGGAGGTTTACTCTCATATATATATATATATATATATATATATATATAAAATAAGTATATATAAACACATACAAATATATATATATATATAAAATAGGTATACATATATATACAAAAAAGAGGATCTCGCCGCCGGACAGTTCTGATCGAGAAAAATCGATAGCCAGTGTATTTTTATACTAGGCAAGTATATAGTGGTGCCGGTTGGACTCGAAAAACCGGATGTTGACCAATGTTGTGTGGTTTCGACTATATATACGTATATATATACAATATAATTAGACATAATGTGTGTATAGCTATTACACTCTTTATTGGACTCGCTCCCGGTTGAGGATGCTAAAAGCGCTAAAAGCCAGAGGCGCATATTGTGTTCTCTTTGGTAATAGGAAAGTAACAGGGGCAAGTAAGGGCCTTTAGAATCGAGGGAGAGAAGGAATGAGGAGGATCCAAATTACTGTTTTTATTATAAGTGTTTATTATCTCGCATAACAGCCGTGTCATAATTTTTGGACCGTTCCAAGTAAAAAAAAATTACTCCTCCTGACATCTCTACCAGGTTACCAGAAGAAAATAAGATCTCTCGTCACGAATATATACTTTCGTTTTTACCCTTCAAAATTTTCGACGCATTTTTAATTAATATTAATTTGTTAATAAATTGTTATGTTATATATAAATTTCAAATCTATTTCACTGAATAAAAAATTTATTTGATTCAAATAACAGATTAATTGACTATTATCAATTAAATATATTTACTTGAATCAAATAATATTTAATGGAGTCAATTAAATGGTATTTGAAGCAATAATTTCAGTATTTGAAGCAAATACCTACCATTTAATTGACTCCAATAAATATTATTTGATTCGATTAAATATATTTAATTGATAATAGTCAATTAATCGGTTATTTGAATCAAATAAATTTTTTTTTCAGTGTTGGAAAACGAACTTTTTTGTTTAAAATTATTATTAAATTTATTAAGGACTGACTGTATTTTATTATTGATAACATATTCTGGAAAGAACAAATATTAATTTTTAAGAAAAAATAATTAAAACC